GAGTTCCATCTCGTGCTGCCGCTGCCGTTCCCTTTCCTCTCTTTCTTCTTTCAGCTGTCGCTCCTTTGCCTCTCTTTCTTCTCTCGCCCTTTCAGCTGCCAACTTTTCTCTCTCCAATTCCAACTTCAATTGTTGTTCTCTTTCTTCCTTCAGCTGTCGCTCCTTTGCCTCTCTTTCTTCCTTCTCTCTCGCAGCTGCCAACCTCTCTCTCTCCAACTCAGCTGCTTTTTCTTCCTTGGCCCTCTCAGCTGCCAACCTCTCTCTCTCCACCGCCTCTTTCTCCTTCTGGCTTACCCACTTCCGTAGTTCGGCGCCAGAAAGACCCATCTTCTCACCAAGAGCAACTAACTTTTCGAGATCCATTGTATCTCGCAAATAAGACCTTGCCGCGTGCAAAAAGTATCTGCCTAAATCAGTCTATCGGAACACTCCCCTGCACTCGTTAACGAGAACACAGAGCAACACACAAAATCGTTCCGATAGCACTATCAACAACTCGAGGCTCTTTCTCACTACTTTGGACACACTGTGCACCAAAAGGTCCTGTCGTGGACGCCAGATTAATTGTCACACACAGGTCCCGTTAATGAGGGAGGCAATCGCCGGGCTAATTCCAAGGGCCGAAGTATCGGCCCCCCGAACCGCACCACGAAAGCGTGGACAATTTAGAAGTGGTCCTTATTGGCACGCCAGCAGACGCCGGCTGTGGCCCAAAGAACAAGTCAGAGCCGAGAGTTGATAAACAAACAAATATTATATTCTCAAAAATGGCAGATCGAAAACAATGCACAAGAATGCACACTCCACAATAGTTACATACAATACGTCACCAATCAAACAACGTACTACACAGTACAATCAGCCACACTCAAAACAACGGACACAGACAACGATACGCTCTACAATGCAGTCGCATGCATTGAACAACCAAGACACTTAAAGACTAAAGAGATAGAAAACCTATCCAGTCCAAAGTTCTTGGAACAAAAGTCTGGATGATACTGTTCCGAGAATCACTCACTCAAAGTCCAGCGTTGTTGTCGTTCTGCGCCCTCGAAGTTCCTCTTCCAGGAATTCTCGCCGAAGTTTCTCTTCCAGGAAACCTCCCGTCTTCAATAGGCCACTCTCCAAGCTTCAAACTTCTTCGCCCGAAACACGTCGGCTTCACACACGCAGCTGTTGCCACGCGTCTTCGCTCGATAGCGGTAAACACACGCTCTTGCCTGTAGCTCGAGCCTTCACCCCTCAGGTGGAAATCCTCTTCATCTCCTGCTTTGTCGCTACGGACAAAACCTTCGCCGACTACACGGCGGAATCCCTACGCGCTCTGGCGCTAACTTCCGTCTTCTCCTGATCTCTCATCTCGGCAGCTCGGTTAAATACCTTGCGCGCGACATTCCAGAAGGTTCTCGTCATTTCGTCGGCGCGATACGCAGCGAAGGCTGGGGAGAGGCGCGAGACTGTACGAGGGCCGTCCCCGACCGATGACTCAACTCGGTATGACCACGCCTATTTCCTTCTGGAACTTTCCAGTGCTTGCCCGGCCGCCGCTGTGGGGTGAGGAGGTTCGTCGGCGAAGCCACGCTTCCGCGGGGAGAGCGCGCGCCCGGGGAGCCTTGGATGTTTGTTTTCTTTTTTATTTCTTTTGACCTCGCGGCGTTTCTCCCGCCCGTTATCGCAAGAATTTGGCGGCGCGCCCATTTTTAGCGCTCGTTCTGTGACACAAGGGTGACAGAAAAATTTCAACAAAGAAGTGCTTTATGCACCACAATAGACAAGGATGAACCAAGTGGTGCAATGGCTTCATTTTCACAACTTGAGTGGGAAAGGGCTGAGAAAAGGGTTCCGAGTAGTACATCAACAGGTCCAGATGGCATTCCAATTATGGTGATAAAGACATTAGGTCCGAAGTCTAAGCAGGCTTCGAGAGAGGCAGTGAGCAAACTAATAATCGATGGTGAAGTTCCCGATGGATGGAAACTTAGCAGGATGAGCATGATCTATAAAGGAAAGGGGGACAAAGCTGACATAAACAACTACCGTCCCGTAACAGTTACATCAGTGGTCTACAGGCTGGCGATGCAGATTATAAAGGAAAGACTGCAGGCATGGATAGAGGATGAGGGGGTGCTGGGGGAACTGCAGCATGGGTTTCGGAAACACAGGAGGCTGGAAGACAATCTGTTCTCACTGACACAGTGCATAGAAATAGCAGAAAAGGAACACAGGCGCCTGTGGCTAGCATTTTTGGATATCAAGGGAGCGTACGATAGCGTGGTTCAAGAGGAATTGTGGGGAATACTGGACGCACTAGGCGTGGAACACGTAGTCACTAATCTTTTAAAGGATATCTATAAAGGTAACTAGGTAGTTATAAAGTGGGAAAAACAGGTATCCAAGTCTGCAGAGGTAAAACGGGGGCTTAGGCAGGGGTGTCCCCTGTCACCCTTGTTGTTCATGATGTACCTACAAGGATTAGAGGCCAAATTAGAGGGAAGTGGACTGGGCTTCAACCTCTCTTTAGACAAACAAGGAAAACTCATTGATCAGGCACTACCAGCATTAATGTACGCAGATGATATAGTGGTAATGGCCAACAACATGGAAGATTTGCAGAGATTGATGGACATCTGCGGTAATGAGGGAGATAGGTTAGATTTAGGATTCAGTAAGGAAAAATCAGCAGTCATGATTTTCAATGATAACGAAGGTAGTGAGCTTAGAATACGGGAGGTCATGCAGGAGATAACAGATAAATACAAATATCTGGGCGTATGGATAAGCATATGGACCGAGTACCTGAGGGAACACGAAATATACTTGACGACTAAAGGTAACAGGAATGCAGCAGGGATGAAAAATAGGGCACTGTGGAATTACAATAGGTATGATGTTGTGAGAAGAATATGAAGAGGGGTCATGGTTCCTGGGCTGACGTTCGGCAATGCGGTCTTGTGCATGCGATCAGAAGTTCAAGCAAGATTAGAAATTAAGCAGCGTGGAATAGGTACGCTTGTTTTGGAAGCTTACGGGAATACACCAAATCAGGGAGTAAAGGTGATATGGGATGGACACCATTTGAAGGCAAGGAAGCTAGCAGCAAGATAAAATTTGAGAAGCGATTGAGAGAAATGGGGGAGGAGCGTTGGACTAGGAGGATTTTCAGCTACTTGTACATGAAGAATGTCGATACAAAATGGAGGAAGCGAACCAGGAAATTGACTGGTAAATACTTAGAAAACAGCAGGTGGCCAAACCAAAAAGAACTATCGGTTAAGAAAAAAGTGAAGGAAACGGAGACTGACATGTGGAGAATGGGCATGATTAAGAAGTCCGCACTAGATATCTATCGAACCTTTAAGCAGGAAATTGCCAAGGAAAGGATCTATGATAATACTCGGGGTAGTTCTCTACTGTTTGAGGCCAGGACGGGAGTACTGCGAACCAAGACATATCGGGCCAAATACGAAGGGGTAGACACAGTATGCAGTGCGTGTGGAGAGGAAGAAGAAACTGCCGAACACTTGATAATGTTCTGTAAAGGGCTTCGCCCTATAGTTCAGGATGATGGCGCGGAGTTTTTCAAAGCACTGGGGTTTAGGGACCGGGAGGGCAAAATAGACTTTAAGCGGGTAGACTTAACTAGAAGGAGGTTATCTGATTGGTGGCTAAAGTCAAAGCACGAGTGAAAATTAAACCCTTCACTGCAAAGTACGAATCCTCAAACTCACTTTTTAAAGAAAAAAAAAGAAATATAGTTTTTGATTCATAAAGTATTACGGCTTGGTGGCGCTAGCCACCGCCCGATCTAAAGGGTACAGCCATATCCATCCATCCATGGTGTAAATGCCTAACACAAGTCAACTTCCCTCTAATTTGGCCTGTAATCCTTGTAGGTACATCATGAATAATAACAAGGGTGAGGAGGACACCCCTGACTAAGGCCCCGTGTCACCTCTGTGGGCTTGGATACCTGTTTTTCCCTCTACCTTGTTACTTTTATAGTTATCCTTTAAAGGATTAGTGACTACATCTTCATAGTAACAGCTCACCACTCAATTAAGCAAAAGAAGCTCCGCGGGCACACTGACCGAAACCTCCGCCACTGTCGCGGTCACACCCTTTTTTTTGTGTGTTGTTGGTGCTGTTGCTGCTGAGACGCCGTTGAGGGTCTGACCTGTTGAGTCAGGTGCTTACACGTTGAGGATGCACTGAACATGTGCAGTGCACGCTGGCGCTTTCTACAGAAGTAGGCGCCGCGAGCTGTGCCCTGTGTGAGAGGTCGAGTGGGTGACGAAGCGCGCTACGTCTTTTCGCTGCGCGCGTTTGCGTCTGCACTTGCAGTGTTTAAGCCGCGTGCCGCGGCAACCACCTTTGCTTCCACAAAGGCTGCGTCGTTCGAAACAGACACGGCGGAGTTAGCGGAGCTTCCCCCAAGCGATCCCCCTGAAGAAAGCCGGGCGTCTGGCCGGGGGATGTTTGTGCCCAGTTTATATTCCGGTGGGTGTCCGGCGGTGGGTTTCGAACCAGCCACCTCCCGCAGCCGAGGCGGACGCCCTAACCACTAGGCCACGGCTGCGGTTTCTGCTTGTCCTATTATAGTGTACTATATTCTAGTACACTATAGGCCTATGAAAGCCACGGGCCTTAGAAACATTGAACTATATTTCGAATATAGAGGTTACCATAGCCCATTGGCCCAACACGGAGCTGAAGGACCAAGATGAGGGCGTCGTCCATTGAAACCTGCCCACAGAACACCTACCAGCAACGGAAACAGCGTTTTCTGACTTCCTTGACAAGAAAAAAAAAACGAGTAAGCAAAATGACGTTATAAAAAATTAAAACTGCCGATAGTGGGGATCATAGCGTCGAGTAATTGCAATGAATTGTTTTCACATCCAAGGGAAGCAAGGAAACCAGAAACACGAACCAGAGCGTTAAAACGCCCGGCTTGCGTACTCGCGTGAATCCGAAGCCAACGTGGGTCGACCCAGAAGAAGCAGAAGACGAAGGATGTGCAACCGGCGCAGTGGATCGCTACGGTGTCGTCTGCGTTGGCAAACTATAGTTGCCGCTGTGCACCCCTGAAACATTCTGTTGAGTAAGCGTAACCGTAGTTAGATTCACTGGCCCGACCGCACAGCATCCACGGCGGTCGCAAGCGGCACCGTCGCAGTACTGCAAGCTTCGACCGTCGCTCTCTCCAAAACACCGCAATGCCGTCGACCAAGAAAGTGGTGCTGCTGGCCTGCGGTTCCTTCAATCCGGTTACCAACATGCACCTCAGGATGTTCGGTACGATGCCTTCACCTGTCACCTTTCGTGCTGCCAGCAACCGAGAGCTGCGCCTAGTCGAACGCTCTGTTGCCAAAAGGCGGGCTAGAGTTCGTGGTGATATGGATCATCGTAATATTGTTCATATCGCGTTTGTGTCTGCGAACTGAAATATGTTTCGAGCCACGTATTTCGGGGTAAGGAAGCGTTCCGGTGAATTTCTTCCAAGCGCGTTGGAAGTTGGACGATTCGATCGTAAGCGAGCGCATTTCAGCGATGCATCTCACACGAACTAAGGAGATGTTTTGAAAGGATTCCAGTGCGTGTCGCTTTGGGTCAGCTAAATTTATTCTTAGAAGCTGTTATTGTTCGTGCGCAGCTGCTCTTTTGTGCTCATTGATCGATGTGGACAGCTGTTACCGTCGTGGTTACCATTGCTCGTAATGTGCGAAATCGCTTTCCTGTCAAAAGGCGACGAGGGCGCTTAGAAACTCCCTTCGTCTTTCTTTAGCTTACGCCTCGTTTACGTCGTTCATTCGTTTCCGTCTCTCGCTTGGATACGGCGTGCGTTGGGCGACGATGCGGGGCATACGGGGGAGGAAATAAAAAAAAATGAAGTAGAAGTGGAAGGGGGTGGAGGTGCGTGAACGGCGCGTAGCGAAAATCGTTACAAGTGCACTGGCCAACGTTGTGCAATCTGTTTCGGAACACTGACCTCCTATCCCACGCCGACCTCATCTCCTCTGTCTTTCTCGTCACGTCTGGCGCGGCTAGAGCGAAATGTCACATAGCGCACTTTGGTATTTTAAGTTTTAAGACGTTACCGATAAGCACAGCGTGCTGGTCTCCTCACTTTATCAATTGCATCGTGAACCGGACAAAATTACGGAAAAAATAAAATAATCAAATATTGAGTTGCAAATAATCTCCTTTCTAGAACTGTGCAGACATCTGATCAAACCTTGCCCCCATTGTAAACAAGAATGGTACCTCAATAGAATGGTAGCTTGGCCTAGTTGGTGATTTAGCATCATCACACCTGCACAGCATGAAATTAACAGACGTATGAAAGGACACAATGCAGGTACTACGTTGTGTCGTGTCATCTGTCCTCTTTTATTACGCGCTGTGCAAGTTTGTGAACATTATCTCGCTGTTTTCTTTATTTTTAACTTCATTGACAGTTTCAAGTGGGTGAGTAGAGGAAGGGAATTATGAAGGTGTGGTTCCTTGTTTGTGCAACCTCAATGAAAACCGACAGGCAATAAATAAAGCCAAGGAAGGTACAGGGGACGTAAACTTTGCTGTTTCAACCATACTCTTGTGATTACAATATAAATGTAAAGAAAGTTAGGTGGATGAAAAGACGACTCGTCGCCACTGGAGACCGAACGCTCAATCTTCGCACGACGCGCCCGACATTGTACGAATTTGGCTATAACAATTATTTTCTCATCCAGTTTATTGGGTATTCTTGTGCATGCAAACCAGGGACTGTTAATTTAGCACTGTATGTAGCCATGACTGCTAGGGCTGATAATATTTTTTTTGCAAGTAGGTACCAAGTGTAAATGCAAAAATTTTTTAATAATTTGAACTATGAATATGTGTGCGATTGTCTTCTCATTAGGCAGCTGCAGGCTTCCACCTGCTTGCTTGTGTCTCAAGAGACTATTACTTTCAGTCTCCTCCATTGTCTATGGAAGTAAACAAGCTATCATTATAAAGCGGTTCTTCAGCTTTGTTTTGGTGGCTTTGCAAGATGGAATACCGATTCCCACTTGTGCGAATTTGTAGCTTCCTTTACCGCCTTAGTACTGCCAACATCAGCCACCAGGTTTGAAAGATGTTAACGGAACACTTCCATGCCCGATGATGATCCTGTGCACATTTCTAATAAATTCATCCTGGGTGCTGTCCTAAGTACTTCTGGGTTGTTGTGAACCCCCGAAAATGTGCTGCTTAGCCCGATTTTGCCGCACCTAGCTTGCTATGCTGTCGCATCTCAAGAACTCCGTTGCTCGGTGCCTCTACCAAAAGTACTGTATTTCTACATGCACAGCCTTGTGCTTTTGAATACTAGATAACACTCAATTAAAGATTCGCTGCCACGCTGTGAAACATGCAGCATCTGGAGGTTGGTTGAACCCTAACGCAGCCAGACAAACATGCCGCAAACAGCTACATGCTGCGTAAAATCAAAAGATGGATATCATGCATAAATAAACCGTTTAGAGCACTTTGCATTGCATCAACTGTTAAAATGTATAGCACAGCAAGATTGTCAAAGCCTGCCTCTAATAGACTCAAGTCTAACAGAGATGTTAGTAATTAAGTAGGCAGTGTTGCCAGCATGCACTTTTGTTAACGGTTCTCCTGGGTCTGGAGGTTTAGTTGTAATAGTGGAGTACTTGGTAAGAACAGCTATATTCTTCACAACCCTGTGCCCTTGTAGTGGCTGCAGTAGAGGGCACGGGTATGGTGCTCTGTGCAAGCATGTGCACTCTTAATGGTTCTGTTCTTATGGTAGTAGCTAGTTTAACTGCTAACGCGACTGTCTTCACTGCAACAAACATTATTTATGTTTAAAGGGCTTCTCATACCTTTAATTATGTGGATGGCATTTTAAAATAGCCTCGATGCTTGCTTTGACAACAGTGTCCGAATCTGGCCCTGTTTTCCTTTTTTTCGAGGAGTGGCACGAAGCACCTTGGTACTGTTTGTCGAAACTCAGTATAATGGAAGCTGTCGGAGTGAGAGTGTCAGTAAATCTATCATTTCAGGCAATCTAATTGTGAATTCTTGTAGAGCAAGAACTTCTTAGCTTCGTGCAATATCCTTAGTTGATGTCAGCCCATAGTGAGTGGACTAAAACATTTGAGTGGACCAAAACCAGTGCAGATACTTTTACCTGGTGCTATGGGTTCATTATGGGAAACATGGAAGGACACCAGCATATTAGAACTCAAGTACACCTCCCAATGCTTTCACACCCTATTAAGGGTGTGAGAGCATTGGGAAGTATTCTTCACTTTTTACTCTCATGCCATCTATCAACCCCTGATCATCTGTAATGACTTATAATAGTATTATTAATAATCTATAATAACCTATAACTATTAGTATTATTCTATAAATCCTGCACTACCGAAGAGTAGATGGTCAGTGATCTTCTGCAGCTACGTTGCCATTAAATTTGGCATTGTAGTTCTTCAATACTTATTACACCTGCAGGTAGTGCCCCTGAATTAAATTGTAACTCATGGCCACACAGTGCTGAAACATTACCAATGGCTGCATTTGCGAAAATGTGATTCAACACGATCCTGTCTAAGCCTGCGGCTGTTTTTGAAGCTGCATGAATTGGGAGCAGGCAGTATTCAGTATGGTGGCTGAGTAATCCAACCCACTCACCTATCATCATAGCAGACAAACTATTATGAAGGTTGCTTTCTCAAGCCTCACCTTTGTCCAGATTGTTTTTGTTTTTTTTTTTCAATTCTTTCTTCGTATTGCCTCCTCCTCTGCACAGGGTTGTCTAAGCTATGTCACATCGGGAGAAAATCTTTGCATAAAATGGAACAGTCTGTGAATACAACTGTGTTCTAATATTGCTATTACTGTGGTCATAATGACCTCGCATACCAATTGCTTTCTGCCTCAAGCTCTAGATGCTTGATGCCTTTCTTGCCTTCATCAGCATTTCATGGCACGTTATGGCGATGTGTCTTCTGCTTTTGGCGCAGAGGTGGCCCGGGACCACCTCATTAATAACGATTCCATGGAAGTGGTGTGCGGCATCGTGTCCCCAGTGTCTGATGGTTACGGCAAGGCTGGCCTGACAGCCGCCAACCATCGGTGTAGGATGCTGTCCCTTGCCCTGGCCACCTCCTCGTGGATCAGGTGAGTTGCCGGATAATCTGACCATTGAGCGGAATAATAAGGGGGCAAAGATTTGTGGGAAAAGGGACCGGCTTTTGTGTTGAATAACACGTGTTCGTAGTTTATAACATTGATGACACGCTTGCTCCCACCCTTTCCTTGCTTTCTTTGTGCCTAGACATATATTTCTCCAGGCCCTTGCCCCTTTCTTGCAGTACCTTGTCTTTATGAAACATTGTTATGTCCCTTTCATCTGTGTAGGGATGATTAAAGGAAATGGTGCAAGAAGAAATTTAATGATACAGTTGAATTTGATACAAAGTGTTCTGCTGAAATGGAACATAGGTATTTAAGAATTTGAAAGAGTTAGAGTTCAGGAGAACGCCTCATGTTTTTCGGCATTGTTGTCTAGAACACGGAGAAGAGTGTTTTAGCACCTCGGGATGCATTGAATACGTTTTCTAATTTTGCTGCCTCAAAAACCAGCATTAGTTCTGATATTGAGGAGGTAGTTTCATGACATGTCAACACAATCTGATCACGGACAATACAATGTACAGTCTGAATCACACTTCTCTCGAGTGACTGGCTGCTTCAGGTGCCGTTTCTTTTTTCTTTTTTTTTTTCAGAAATAGGCTGACTCTGAGGCCGTATTTATACCTAGCATAGTCACAATCTATTCTAGGTCCTCATGGTGTAATTTAAACATGAATGGATGTTTGTAGCTAACGCACGGTGGCAGCTACGAACAGCCCCAATGTCTGCGGCCACGCGCTTGACTGCCCTAGACACACGCAATCCACATTGTACTAGCACCAGCTGTGTTGCTTATTGTCAGTTGCATGTGGCGCATGTAAAAAAAGAGTGAATTGTTGGCCGGCGACTCTGACAGTGTTTTTGGCAACTGTGTTGACTGGCCGTGATGATTACCATTGCAGTTGGGCTGGCTTGCAGGTGCTGAGCAACCAAATCTTGAAACTCAAACTTGAATTTATAATATCTATTCCCGCCTCTGGTGCGTCTAGAGGGTTAACATCACATGTCAAAGATATAAAAATGTATTCCTTTTGTGATGTCTGAAGATTGTGCAAGTGCTTCTTTAATTTATGCTGATAATAATGACATCGACTGCTTCGTAGACAGACGTCGCTTCACTGCTCTTGACACTGAGAAGCCAAGACATAACGTCAACCCAAGTATTATTTTCCAATAGAGAACGAAATCTGCCATTTGTTTATACTGTTTGTGTAGAATCTCTATGGTTTCAAAACTTGTCTGCCTATTTTTTCTCCTTAATTTTATGTGAACTTGACTGCATCTGCCAGGCTAGACACTTGGGAGTGTGAGCAGGAGAGCTGGACGAAGACGCGGCGCGTGCTTGATCACCACCGACAGAGGATAGCGGTAGAAGGTCTGCCCACACAGTCGGGACCCAAGCGACGACGGAGGCGGCAGAGCAACGACAACCTGATTGGTGAGCAGAACACCTGTGCTAAAGGGCTCTATATAGTCCCCCATAGCATTTGTGCAAGTTGGCAACTCCATGTTCGTCACATTACATTGATGCAGTATCCAAGAACTTTAGGTCCCATGCTTTCGCTGCACTGCACTATGTCACCTTGACACATGCATGTTTGAGCACAACTTGTGTCCCTTCTGTCACGAAGAGATGCAGACGTGGTCGAGTGTGGGTAAAGTCGCCAGCGTGAAATGCAACATGGTGCTTCTTGTGCCGGCCACCGCCAGTTCGTGCTGACAGACATCGGTCGCACCTTCTGTAGGACTATAGAGTGCTCACGTTTTGCTAGCATGGCGTTGCCATGCCGAGCATGTTGGCACATCAACATTGGGTTGGACTATATAGAGCCCTTTAGTATTAAAGTGAAAGCCTTGAATGCCTCCTCAAATGTGAAATTTTACTGCCGGCTTCCTGCGTTGGCAGTGTCTTGAGTATCGTGGTGTTAGCAATGAGTGATGTGAGAGATCATTATCATGAGATGACGCCACAGATCGCCAAAATTTGTGATATGACAGATCGCCAAAATTGTGATAGATTGTCAAAATTTGCGACTTAAGATCACACAATGACGTCATCACATTAAATCATAGGTTGGTCACAGGTGCCCCGATCTTGGAAGCTTTGCAAAACTATGCCAGATGCAGAAAACTTTCAAAGGGTGGCAGGGCAGCATCAGTACATCGGCTGAGCGAAAAAAGAAATGGATTTTGCCTTCAAGTCGTCTTAAGTAAATCCATGAAGGACCCTGCGAGTTTTTCGTCTTTGCTCATCTTCATCAAGGACTACATCTTTGTGAAGGTCAACTCAGCGTATCTCTCAATGCGGCCAGAACTTGCTGCATTCTTTCAGTAGCCCATGTTCTATTTCAATGGAAATGTTGGGACGTACATATGCGTAGTAGAGAAAGACAACCGAACAGGGTGAATCCCAAGTCTCAAGTTTGCTACAACAGAAAGAAATGCAAACAGCAGAAAGCATTGCTTTCAACCCTAGTAAACTTCATTCCATGAGTGCCTCTAGGCGAATCTAGTTTCAGCTGGCACCATTGTAGTGCTGCTATCTTGCTCTCGCTGGTGCTATCATACCACGTTTATGTTTGAAGTGCCAGGCATGACTGGCAGAGGATCAGCAGATTCTAGCACTGCAGTGAAGCCAGCTGAAACCCTACATTCACATTGTGACAGTCGAGGCATGCTGGAGTTCGACTGGTCATAAAGTCATACTTTCTGCTGTTTGTGTTTTTTTACATAGCTGTAGTGCATAACTCGCGAGTTCAAATGTGACAATTGTTTCTAATAGAATTAAGGCTGCCGCACAATTGATCACGAGTGCTAGAACTGCCCATGACATGAAAGAACATTTCAGTGCCTTAAAATATGAAACAAAATGAAGCTTGTGCATTTGATTCATGCAAAAAAAGAAGTTCTTAAAAATGAAGCAAGTTCTGTTCTTGCCAGGCTATGCTCCCCTACAGGCCTTTGCTCCACAGTAACGTCTCTTTGGCAGCAAAGAGCGGGCATGGCATGCGTTGCATCAGAAGGCTGTTCTCGGGTGTAAAGAGGTTCAAATTGCACTAACGGTATTTGAACCGCCAAGACGTGATTTTCTTTGAAGTTAAACATTTCCTTGACAGTCGAAGAACTTTTTCTGGAATGGTATTTCAACAATCCACTTCGACATAACATTTGCCTTTAGTGTCTTTTCAAAGGAGCTGAGACACCTAAATTTTTGGGAGGGGGAGGGGGGTCTTACTGCTTTATTTAGCAGCTCTGACTAGTAGCCTTCTTTCTGGTGATTCCAAAGTTCAATCATAGATGCTCTAACATATCAGGTAAATAATGCTAGTGTAGTTGATTATTACCAAATATGACTTCCTTCAATATGCCTCAGAACGTTTACCCAATATCACAAGGGACCAGTGCTGCACAACATCAAAGCATATAAGATCGTGTGCACTGAAGTTTTGGTGATGTTGAGAATGTGACTTTTTAATCGTGTCCCCACATGGGTGTGAAGTGGAATGGTGGACATGAGGCAATATTGGTTAGGGTGTTAAAGTAGCCAACACGCTCTCGTGGCAAAATTAGTGATGCACCCAGTCTGCACCACGACGACAATAATTGTTGATCTAATCATCACTCGGCGCTTTGGGACCCTTTGAAGGCGTGACAATATTGTCGATATGTCGGGGGTACTGCCGGTAGAGCCTTCGAATGCTGCTTGCCATCTAAAGGAAAATAACTTCCACTTAACATACGCAATTCATGCTTCACTGAAGGAACTGTATATACCAAGCCATCAAGTGAAATCTTCAGTTTCTGCTCTTTTAAGAATGCCACAAAGCTGCATTTATTTCAATACTCTTCCTTTAGAGTCGCAGCTAAGCCCCTCTTGAATAAGCAAAGAATAAGCATAACCTTTTGTTTTTATGAAGTGATGCTTACACAACTTGATATGTGCAGCACCATGATTTCTTGGCGGTAAAATTTCACAGTCTTTCTCTTCAAGTTGTACGCGTCTGCTTCCATTTACAGAGTCGGTGTCGAATGTCCAGCTTATGCTGCTGTGTGGAGCTGATCTGTTGCAGTCGTTCCAAGTGCCTGGGCTTTGGGCTGACAAAGACGTGAGTCATCTGAGTGGTGTCCTGTGTAACATAGGAAGAACCTTGGAAGCTTACACAGGCTATCGTGTGTATGTACTTATGCATGTGAGTGTTCTCACATGCATAACTATATACAGTACTCACAGATTCAAATGCAACAATAAATTTCTAGTTTTAAGACTGATGTGTGTGATTGTTTCAGACAATTGTGTCATGTGTTATCGAATCTAGGCTATGTAGATATTGTTAGGTGTGATATTTGTGTTCAAGTCGAAATTGTGCTGATATGCCTCGAACTGAACATGGTGGAAATGAAAGTATGGCCACTCTTATCCCTAACTTGTCCTGTTTCAATCAGTGTGTAGTGTATATATACAAAGCCATCAGACACACACCTAATAACAACATTTTTGGGATGCAGCCTTGGACTAACTGGATACATCACATTTCGTGGTGTGTCTCTTTCTTTTGGTTGGTTCCTGCTTTAATGTGTTTTTTTTTGTTCTTTCACTTAAACACCAGAAAGCCCACTGCTATTGTTACTCTATTTATTTGTGTGCGCAGGGAATATTTTTTAGGAGTGTGTGAATACCAAGGTTGGAAGCGTACTAACCGGTTGCTGCATCCTATTGTCACACAACTTCTCTTCTTTTCCCTCCTCTAACATGAAGATAGAGCACATCCTGACTCAGTACGGCCTGGTGGTGGTGACCCGTCACGGCTACGATGTGCCTCGGATCATCTACGAGAATGACATCCTCTACCGGCACCGAGTGAGTGATGGATGGGTGCACTCGCATTAGCAACAGCACTCCCACAAAAGCTGCCTGGGATATCTAGGCGCTAGCGTTTTTGAAGAAGACGTGGAAAATGCCATGCTTGCTGCCAGACATTTGCCAAACTAGGAAACATGCAGAAAAAAAAAATATTTATGATGACTCTATTATGAAGTTCCCGTACTGGTTGCCGCAATGTCAAAGCCCTATCTTGTCCTAGGGGACGTTAATGCACATAATAGCATCTATGGTGACTCTTGCTGCGATGCGCAAGGTCGCTTGATTGAACAGTTCCTTTTTTCTTCCGAAAAGAGCCCCAAGAAAGACGTGCTTAGCCAACAAAGACGATGACGATATTACAACATAGCTAGCAATACTTACTCGACAATAGACCTCAGCATAACACCTTTATCACTCCTGCCTCTAATTGAATGGGAAATCGCTAATAATTCATACCGAAGTGACCATTTTTTTATAGTTCTCAGCATGAACCGCAGCACTGACTCCCAACTGAATTCTTTATTGGAAAAAACATGAATGGAAAAAGAACACTTCAACCTTCACACCTGTGTCACCACACCAAGGCAAGAAAAAACAGATCAGCTGACATTTTGAACAGTGAAAAAACTTTGACGTATCCCACGTGTACTCTCCAACAGCATAAAAGTGAAGATATCGTGCTATCTGAGAACCTAGCCTCACTATGATGTCGGGCTACAGAAGGCACACTAATGCATTGTTCGACCCTTTTTTTATATATATATGCTTCGATTTTTGATATTATATATGCTTTCTCGTGTGGTTTGATCTCTGTCTGATGATAGAACTTTTGCTTCATAAAGAATAGGTATGCAATGGCACTGCGCAACATGTTGGGGCACATGGGAGTACCATACTATTCCTCTTGTAAAGATCTACCGTGTTCCAACAACCTAATGTTAACGCATCTACTTGTTTGGCCTATGTATACACGACCACAGGAAACGGCAAAAGTTACACAATATTCTTCCTGCACTGTACAAAAAAAATTACGTGTTTGACCCCACAGCCTTCTTTGGTTACTCCTGACAACGGGCTTCTTAAGTTTTCATTCAACCATCCCACAAACTTTATTAAAACTTATTAGGCAACGAAAAAACTACACGTACTCCAAACCGGCTGGAAACATTTTTCAAATTGTGGGATGGTCTGTGTATGCACGAAACTACTGCTGAAGATTTCCTATGCTCTGGATATAAATGGGTATCGATACCATCTGTGTTTTTCTTAACTCGCTTGGTCAACTTGCGAAGAGTTCGCCAGATGCTAGCGCCCAGAAAACCTGAACTCCCTGCTCTTGTCTCTCCCACGCAATATATTTCACTGCACATATGTAGATGTGCACATATGTATGTAGATACAGGTTGGTTTCAGATCGTGCCACCTCTCGATGTTCAGGTTCAATCAGGTTTCAGTAACATTTCTCATTGGGCGAGAAAGAATGGCTTTAAACTAAATGCACAAAAGAGAACTTCTGTGTTGTTTTGCCGAAAGAGGGGCCTCCATCCCAACACTGACATTGACCTGCATAGTCAATGTCTGTCCTTAAATACTGAGCATAAGTTTCTGGGCCTAATATTAGACACAAAACTAACCTTCATATTATGTCGATCCCGGATATGTCGAACTCGAAGGAGATCACCAAATAGTTTGATACATCGACTATTCTAAATACAAAATGTGCGTATAAATATCTAAATTGAAGAATTTCAGGCCTCAGAAATTGTTACAAGAGCTAACGTACCGATTCGCTCAAAAACAAGGTGCAAACTGCAGGTTACCGTACTTTATTTAGTCAGTAAACTTGTCTTGCTTCTTGCAAGCCGTCAAGTTTCAGTCATTCTTAATATTATTGAAGCTTTTCAAGTAAGCGAACTTAGCTCCTTTGGCCACAACGTCGATTGACACAGAATGCCGATGCAAGCTTTATAACGTGGCAAGAGCTTGGTTAGCAGCGGAAACGAAGGCATTGACACATTCATAACCGCACGGCTACACTTCACCGGAACCGACAACGGCAGCCTAAATCTCAGCATTGATGCAGTCAGAGAGGTCGTCATCTGTACCGATGAAGTCGCTACTGTCCGAGGTGGTGCCCGCGAACGCTTATAAGTCGCAGAATTCACTGAGGCATTGTAAGCCGTTGTCAGCAGTCATGAGGCACCTGAAGCCGTCACCTGGCCTGCAAACAGTGTTTTACTTCACGTCGCTCCTAGTGCCAGTCATAACTTTTATCCGTACATGCAAGCCAACGTTCAGTTTTCAACACCTGAATGAGGATTTATCAGAAACGAGGCGAGAAGGCCTCAAAGTGCAAAAGACGCAACGCCGAGTTCGTCGGAGTTCTCTCTGTCGACATGTTAGTAATTTCAATGTCACTTTGGCTTTGTAGCTGGCAGGCGCTGCTTTTAGCAGCTTTGATGCAAAACTATAAAAAATAAGAAAGCATAGCTTCTAAGACACGCGCTCTGAAACTGAAAACACTCAAAAAATATGTCACAAAGGCGTTTGGTGTGTAGCGACACCACAGACCCGAGCTAACGGGGGGGTTTTGACTCCCTCCCACGCCTAGCCGTGCGGGGCTTTGCCGTGCCCGGGGAAAAGGGGATCCCGGGGGTTGAGCGGATGCCGGGTGATTGCACCTTTAAGGCCCCTGGCAGAGGCAACACACCCCTTTGGCCCGGCTTCACGTAGACGGCACCCCTGGGCTGACCCACCCAGGGGAAATCAGCAGTCGCCTTTTCCTATCTCTCTCTCCCTACATCTTCGTCTTTATCTCTCACTTTTTCTCTGTCCTGTCTGCTACTCTTTTTTGTTTACTTCCAAACTTCCTGGCGGCTAAAGTTAACCCTGTGCAAATAGCCTACCTTGGTCTAGGTGCATTGGGTTATAGTAGCGTTGTACGGCTGGCGTCTGCAGGTTTTAGTATCTGCAAACTTGTAGCGTCCCCTCGTTGGGCTCAGTAATGGGTGGCCGCCAACGCTTCTGAAGCAAATTAAACTGGCATGCATAGAGCTTTTCCCTTATTAAGTGATCGTACTGCCTGAAAGCGTGTACGCACCGAAGACTCGGGCTTTTTTGATCGATCAAATGAAAACTTCCCCCATTTTCATGTTATACATAGTTAGATAAGTGGCAAGCAAGCCAGAACTGTATCTGTGTAGTAGCCAGGTGCTTTACAGAAACTCTTGGGGCCGGATACAAAGTTACCAAAATGGCCAGCGGAGACCTCCTTCTCGCAATTCGAGAAAAAGAACAGTTTGAGAAACTACACAACGCTTCAACTTTTGGTGACACTCCAATCACTGTAACACCACACAGATCAATGAACACAACTCGAGGAGTGGTATCTGATGCCGATTTGCTTGGCCTGACCGAAGCAGAACTTCTGGAGGGGTGGAAGAGTCAGAATGTGACCAATGTACAAAGGATCATCATCAGGAGAGACAAAAAGGAAACACCAACAAAACACCTAATACTCACGTTTACTTCCAGTAAACTGCTGGAATCCATTCAAACAGGGTACACGAAGACCTCTCTCAGGCCGTACATACCAAACCCTCGTCGCTGCTTCCAATGCCAGAGGTATGGCCATGGATCTAAAATCTGTCGTGGCTGCCAGACTTGTGCACAATGTGGAGTCCTACGCCACATGTCTGAAAACTGCAAACAACCGCCCCACTGTGTAAAAAGGAAACCATGCCGCAGATTCACGCTCCTGCGCATACCGAAAAAAAAAGGAGATAGTAACACTGAAGGTCAAAGAAAACATTTCTTTTAAGGAAGCAAGAAAAAGGGTCTCCCCATTCTATTTCCCAACATGTGCTGATGCGGCGCGTCAGGGGCACCGCCGCACCAGCCCTCGCCACTCCCTCGGCCCGCATACACCGAGCCGACGGTTGTGGCACCTGCCCCTAAGGCGGCTGTAGCCCAGACTACACCGCCTACTCCCGAACAGAGACCTGAGACTCCAGGGTCCTCAGGTGTCAAGGCCTCACCTCACCAGGCGAAGCCCAGAATCTGACCTACCAGGTCGCACATGCGAGCATCCAGTGCCTCTGAGGAGGCAATGGATACGTCGGTACCTTTGGTGCCGAAAGAGCGATGTGGCTTTTTGGAGCGCGCCAAGAAAAAAAAAAGGATAACAGGGCCTGGTGACGACCCTGTTACATGAACTCAAACTCCCCGCCTAAACAGCCACTCACTTTTCGTACACACAGCACTACTTTACATTCACTATGAACACTCAAATCATACAATGGATTGTCATGGGCCTTCTCAGAAAGATTGACGACATCCAAGAACTTTTACACGAGCGCTCACCAAAAGTGCTGTGTGTACAAGAAACACACCTTAATTCAAAACATAGCTTTCTTTGTAAATACATTACTTTCCGAAAGGAGCGTGATGATGCCATGACATCATCCGGAGGTGTTGCCATTAGTATAGTGAATCAAGGGATTGCACGCACACACTTACAACTCCAAACATCCCTTGAGGCAGTGGCTCTTCGAGCTGTTCTTTTTGATAAACTGATCACAATTTGCACTGTTTACATTCCTCCTAACTATCAGCTGCAAAAACGGGATCTACACTCTTTAATTGATGAACTTCCAGAGCCTTATGTCCTGCTTGGAGACTTTAATGCACGTAGCAGGCTATGGGGTGACTCTCGTTGCGACGCGCGAGGTCGACTGATTGAACAGTTCCTTCTCTCGTCGAGCGCGTGTCTCCTAAATTGAAAAGAACCAACCTATTATAATTTCGCTAATAATACCTACTCCTCCATAAACCTAAGCATAGTATCCCCGTCTCTATACTCGGCGACAGCTTTTCGTGACATTGGAGCGAAGGCTACGGAGGCGGGGCCTCCGCACATTTGTGTTACTACACAAGTAGTTTGGCAGCTTGCAGCCGATTTCGGTTCCAGTTTCGGTTTTCGCTTGCTCGCTGCGCTAGTGTGTTTAGCAAAATGTATGCATGCAAAATGGAAACGTCAGAGTTAAACTTTGATGAGAGTGCATACATGCAGCTAGTTACTGTGCTGTTTATATACTGGTACATATAAAATTTTCTGTTGTTCAGAACGTTTTCCCAGCATTATTCAGCCTTTATAACATAGAAGTTTAGGTTCCGTGTTCAGCCCAGTATATACGGGTTCGCGCCACACGTGATCGAATGTTAACGTTTACGGTATTGAGCCCTGGTACAGGCGAAATGGAAGGCCGGTTGCGGCACGATCCGGCCACGGGCCTGTCTTGTTTCTGCTTTGCTGTATTCGGTTTACGCCCTCAAAGGCTGTCAGCAATGATCGGCGCAGACTGCGCCTCAGTGTTCGAGAAGCCTCACAATTGTTGTAGATCGTTGTTAAGATTGCGCGCAAGACGCGAACAGTGAAGCTTATTTCAGAGCTTGCGCGGCCACCAGTGATAAGGCTGGAAAGTTCGATGCGTGATGTATAAAAAACGGCGCGTCCCAATGATGAGCAGCTTTTCCACGGCCGATGCTGTGCTCGCCGTTGCAAGAGCAAGCAGCAGACGCAGCCGGCGTGCGGAAAACGTGGTGCCGTCCAAGAAACAAAAAAGAAAAAAAAAACTAGGCCGCACGATAACTTCTTTTCCATGAACAGCGTCCCATACTTTTTCTATCCTTATAATGAAGAAAGTTTTATTTATTCAGGCCAAGTAGCTATTAGAATCAGAAAATAAAATAGGTACTATTTCCTGGCACGCGCGCATGCAGGCGGTTCGGCTCTATAGCTTCCACAGTGCTGTCAAGAAAAGCTGTCGCCGAGTATAGTGCCTCTACTCCAGTGGAAAGTAATCAGTAATCCGTACAGAAGTGACCACTTCCCCGTAGTTTTGAGCACAACTACAGCAACTGAGTGTCCACCACGTGTTCCCAAATGGCTCATAAACAGAGCCGACGGGGAACAGTTTTACACCATCGCTCGTTTAGGCTGAAGTGACATGTACGTTGAGCATTGATGTTGCTGTCAACTACTTCACAGCGTTTTTGATTGATGCTGCAACGAAGTACATCCCACAAACAAGTGGACACCCTGGAAAACGGCGTGTGCCGTGGTGGAACTATGAATGTCGAAATGCACGCAAGCAGCAAAACAAAGCATGGAAGTTGCTTCGGAACTCACCGACAGCTGAAAATCTTCAAATCTTTGAAAAAATGTAGTCTCAGGCCAAGGGAACTGTCGGCAGGCCTGAAGAGAAAGTTGGCAAAAGTTTTTATCAGGATCAATTCATATACACAGGAGGCTAAAGTTGGGAACATGGTTGGAAGGGTAGCAGGAAGACAAGTACACACACTCCCACTCGTAAACACACAGAGTGACACCTTGGAAGATCAGGCGAACCTCCTCGGTGCACACTTCGAGCGGGTGTCCAGCTCATCGCACTATACTGACGCTTTCGAAAAATATAGAACAAAGATAGAAAAGCAAAAACTCAAAAACAAATTTACAAGCCACAAGGCGTACAACAAAGCTTTCAGCTTACCTGAGCTCCAAACATCTCTGAATTCTGACCGTGTGGGGTACGGAATGTTAAAAGCCTAGCAATTGAAACACAAAAAAACCTTACTTTGCATGTACAATGCTACCTGGTTCGCTGGTGCTATCCCTACTTCCTGGAAAGAAGCTATTGTTATTCCCATTTTAAAACAGGGCAAGGACCCTTCTTCAGTTTCGAGTTATAGGGCAATTGTGCTTACAGGCTGCCTTGGCAAACTTTTCGAAAAAATGATCAACAGCCGACTTGTACATTTTCTTGAAACAAACAATTTGCTCGACCCCATTCAGTGCGGGTTTCGCGAGAGTAGATACACCGCCGACCACCTTGTTCGTATCGAGGCACAGATCAGAAACGCTTTCGTTCATAAGCAATACTATCTTTCTGTGTCCCTCGATATCGAAAAGGCTTACGATACAACATGGCACTTTGGAATAATAAGAGACCTGTCCCATCTCGGCGTGTGCGGAAGAATGTTTAACATAATCGAAAGTTACTTGTCAAATCGATCATTCCGAGTTCGTGTAGGCAGCATTCTTTCCCAAACATTTGTCCAAGAAACAGGCGTGCCACAAAGTGGTGTACTTAGTTGCACACTTTTTCTCATCAAAATGAATTCTTTGGGCTTGTCCATCGCTCGCAATATGTTTCATTGTACAGACGTCGATGACGTCCAGCTTGGTTTTAGATCCTGCAATCTGGCCTTGTGTGAGCGCCAGGTTCAGCTTGGTTTAAACAATGTCTCCAATTGGGCTGAAGAAAACGGGTTCCGGTTGAATGCACAGAAAAGCACGTCTGTCTTGTTTTCCAGGAAGAGAGGCCTTAATTACGAACTTGATATTCAACTGCATGGGAATGCCTTTCTGTTAACACCGAACACAAATTCTTAGGTCTTATCCTGGACACCAAGCTAACCTTCATACCACACATTAAGTATTTGAAAAACAAGTGCATATAAGCCATGAACGTTCTGGAAGTGCTGTCACGCACTATGTGGGAAAGTGAAAAGAAGTGTGGGAAAGTGACAAGAACATCCCACTCACTCATCAATTAATGATTTGTCTAATTCTACCTTGCTCAACAACCGTCCTTCGCTGAGACAGCCTACTCCGTGTGAGGAGTCTCGCTGAGGAAACAGACATGCTACTTTTAGAACACTGTCTGATGGCTCCCGCACATATCCGCCACTGTGGCCGTGGCAGGTTATAGACTGCGACACATTTTTCGTGGAAGTAACTAAACAGGCACCTACTACACGTATTGGCATGGAACTTCAACACACGTACACTAGCCCAGAATTCTTTATAGATGCGTCGAAGTGTCACACTGGTGTGTCTTATGCAGCTGTTGGCCCATCCTTTTGAAATTCCGGTATGCTGCGCCCCCACACAAGCATTTTGACTACAGAAACTCATGCAATATGTGTGGAATTCAAGCATATTAAGGAATCACCACTACAATGCGTATTTGTATACTCAGATTCGCTTAGCATTATAACAGCTTTGAAAGCACAAACGAAACGTAAAAATTCTGTTCTTGTGTCGCTTTACTATTAAGTAATATTTATGCTCTTAAACGACATGTTGTAGTGTGCTGGATGCCAGGGCACAGCGAGATTGATGGAAACGTGGCAGAGGACCAGCTAGCTGCATCTACACTCGACAACGCTACCGCCAATACACCCTTAACTGTCCCTTCTTTTGACATGAAGCCTTTCCTTCAACTGGAGCTCAGGTCATAGTGGGCAAACAGAAAACAAATTGCATGCTATCAAACCGAGACTTGAAAATTGGCCGGCAGTGTACAGAACACACTACACACAAGTGACACCTACCAGGCTACAGGAAGGACACACACACTCTACACACTCATACCTTTTGTCTGGCAGTGACCAGCCCATCTGTGAGAGATGTGGAGATCCACTTACAGTTCTCCACATCCTCGTTCAGTGTAGTGATTTAGATGCTCTAAGAAAAAAAAGTACTTTTTTATTGCCCTACAGACAGCAGCTTCCATTACATCTTGTCATGCTCATCCGTAGGGATGCACTTTTTAATCTCCTATCACTGTTCATGTTTTTAAAAGATGTATTTAAAACTCATATTCCGAGGTGATCCATAGCTCAACCTCTGTACAGAGGTCGCGGCTGTGGTGGCCCTCACCACCAACTCTGTCATTTATTCCAGCTCCACATGTTTCACATCACCTCCATGATTTTAATACTTTTGAGTTTTAACTTGCCTCAGGGCATAGAATTTTAGGCCCCTTTACAGCACGGTAACAGTATCATTGTTCATATCCTGCTCATATCACTTCAATCACGAACCGTTGCTCTTCGCTCATAATTGTTCATGGCGCTCTTTGGCCATCACATGGCCCTTGCGCCAATAATCTTTATATATCGTCATCACAGAATTTTTGGTTCTAGCAAACTTATTTTCATGTAAAATGCAACTTTGTTGTAATGAGGTTATAATCGGCTGTGTAACATTAGTGTTCAGCAGTAGCATCTATTTGGTAGTCAAAATGTCTCGTAAGATTTATCGAGGTTTTCCAGACATGAGCGACACCTTATGTGAACATTACGCATCCTACACGGGGCCTTTATTTCACTGTCACAGAAAGTTCAAACAAAAGCCTTCATATCGAGCATTCTTCTTTTACGATTTTTTTTATTGCAGTGAGAATCATTCATATCACCAACACTGTAATGATCTTGTTTCTTTGCAGCACCACATTCACGTGGTCACTGAGTGGATCACCAACGAGATCAGCTCCACAGCAGTCAGGTGAGCCCACTACTGGCTCACCTAATGAAAGCCGGTATTCACATTTGACCATTTTCAAAGGTGCCTTTGCTTTTGTGTTACGTAACATGTGGTGCGGTACTCACTGGCAAGCACCTCGCAGGGGCGTCTGTGCAAGCAGGCGTTTTGTGTGTAGTGACACTACAAACCCGAACTAATGGGTGGTTTCGACCTCTCCCACGCCTAGTCGTGCGTGGCTGAGCCGTGTCCGGGGAAAAGGGGATCCTGGGGGTTGAGCTGACGCTGGGTGATTGGACCTTTAAGGTCCCCGGCAGAGGCAACACACCCCTTTGACCCCGGCTTCACGTAGGCTGCACCCCTGGGCTAAGCCACCCAGAGGAAATCGGCAGTTGCCTCTTCCTGTCTCCTTCTGTCTCCCCATCTTCGTCTTTTCTACTACTTTTGATCTTTCCTGTCCTCTCCTCACCTATTTTTACTTCCACCATTCTCGGTGGCAAGGGTTAACCTGGTGTAGATATCCAACCTTGGGTAGATATATTAGGTTATAGCGGCCATGTTCGGCCGGTGCTTGCATCTGCTTCGCGTCTCGCAGCATCCCCTTGTTGTGCTCGAAGGTGGGTGGGTGGCATGGTCACCGAATAAGCTACCTAATTCATGGAAACTCCTAGTCCCCTCACAACCGATTGTCTCTCTAAGAGGTGGCGCACTGATGCAATTTTTGAATTTCTCCCAAACAAGAAAGATAACTTCCCGAAATACCACATCATTCACTGTGAAAGTACAGAAAAGAAAGCTAGAAACATTTAACCTTTACTTGTGTCCAAATGCCTTATAGAATGCTAGGCGCGGGCAACAAAGCCACAAATACTGTCAATGGTGCCCTGCTACTTGAATTGAAAGACCACGCACACTACCAGAGACTGCATAACCTTACATCATTTGTTGATCAGCCTATAACCATCACACCGCATCGAACCATGAACATCGTGAAGGGTGTTGTATCAGATAAAGACCTGATGGAACTCTCTGACGAAGAGCTTCTAACAGGCTGGAAAGACGAAAATGTCATCCAGGTGTAGCATATCAATATAAGAAGAGAAAAGAAAGAAGCCCCTACGAAACACATCATACTCCCTTTCGCATCTATCACTCTTCCCACTGAAATAGCAACAGGATTTCTTAAACTGCCAGTCAGACCATACATACCCAACCCGCGGCGCTGCTTTAAGTGTCTGAGGTTCGGGCATGGCTCCCAGAGCTGCTGAGGACAGCTTACCTGTGCGAAATGCGGCACCATTGGTCATACCGCTGACGATGACTGTAAGTTACAAGTCCACTGCACAAACTGTGAGGGTGACCATCCCACATATTCCAAATCATGCGTGACCTGGAAAAGGAAAAGAGAAATAATAATCACAAAGTTTCAATTGAACAAAATCTTCCACGAAGCAAGGCAGCGCGTTTTCTCACATTTTGCAGGGAACACATATGCCGAAGTGGTGCGAGGGGGGTCAGAGCCAGTTCGGTTTTCGGCAATGCCGTGGGCCACGCCTAGTGTGCCAAGGCAAATGCTACAAGCCCCCACGGGGGAAGCAGCCTCGGCTGCCCCGCCCTACCTGAATACAGCCCCACTGAAGGCACCTGTGAACCATGGCAGTAGCCAGGGCACCAGACAAACTAAAAAGGTCCCCTCAATATCCAGCCCGGTGGGTTCGAAGGCTCCGTCTGTCGCGTGGAAGCCTACAACGAAAACAGCATTGTCTGGCACTTCTCCTGAAGCGATGGACACGTTCAGTGCACCAGCGCATACTGCGCCAAAGGAGCGGCGAGGTCCCCTCAACCGGTCTTAAAAAAAGGCAAAATAGTAATTACAGGGCCTCCTAAAGGCTCTGTAAAATAAGTCATTTTCCTTTTTGAGACACCAGCCACACTCGCTTTGTACACACAGCACTTCTTTACTTCTAATATTGAGACACAAGTTATACGATGGAATGTCAGAAGACTTCTTAGAAACCTCAACGATGTCCAAGAACTTTTACACAAACATTCACCAAAAGTGCTGTGTGTACTAGAAACACACTTAAAGCCTAAGAACACCAACTTTCCGCGTTAATATTTTATACTTGGAAAATACGTAGATGATGCTGTGGCATCATCTGGTGGCGTAGCCATTATTGTTAATCGAAGAACAGCATGTACATGTCTACCACTACAAACAACCCTTGAGGCAGTGGCTATTCGAGCGGTTCTCATGAACAAACTCGTCAACATCTGCTCTCTATACATACCCCCCAACATCGCCTTGAAAAACATGAATTCCAGTCTTTAATAGATGAGCTACCAGAACCTTATCTGGTCCTTAAGGACCTGAACGCGCACAGTAGTTTATGGGGTGACTGTCGCTGTGATGCACGATGTCGTCTCCACAAACAGTTTCTCTTTTCATCAGGTGCCTGTCTGTTGACTGTCAAAGAACCAACATATTACAGCCTTGCTAACAGTACTTACTCGTCGATAGATTTTTAGCATTTTATCTCCATCATTTTTATCCCTACTCCAATGGAAAACCATAAAAAATTTGTTTGGAAGTGACCAATATCCTGTTATATTGAGCACACTGTTGTATTGAACACACCAGCTTTCCAGCACTACAAAACGATAATAGAAAAGTAGAAACTAGAAAGCAAATGTACAAAGAATGAGCCATACAACCATCCTTTTAGGTTGGCTGAGTTACAGACATTGCTAAATAGCTGTAGTAACTCTACCCAAGGTCAGATCGTGTGGTCTATGAAATGTTAAAAAACGTTCCTCTCGAAACACTAAAAACCTTACTTTCTCTGTGCAATACCATTTGGTTCTTCAATGAGTTCTCTGCTGCATGGAAAAAAGGCTATTGTCGTATCAATATTGAAACATGCTAAGGATCCGTCTTCTATAGTTAGTTACAGGCTGATCGCATTAACGAATTGTCTCTGTAAACTTTTCCAAAAGATGATTAACCATAGACTAATATATTTCCTGGAAACAAACAACCTACTGCACTCATTCCAGTGTGGATTTCGCAAAGGTAGATCGACCACTGAACACGCATTGAGGCGCAAATCCGGGACACTTACATCCATTAACAGTTCTTTCTTTCAGAATTCCTTGATATAGCAAAGGCATATGACACCACATGGGGTTACTGTGAGACCTCTCACACTTAGGTGTGCGAGGTAGTATACTGACCATAATCGAAAGTTATTTGTCAAACTGCACTTTTCGTGTCCGAGTGAGGAATGTCTTGTCTAAAACATTTGTCCAAGAGACTGGAGTGCCGCAAGGTGGTGTAATGAGTTGCACACTTTTTATTATAAAAATGAATACCCTTCACTCGTACATTGAACGCAATATGTTTTATTGCACGTATGTCGACGACGTGCAGATATGTTTTAAATCATGCAACCTTGCAATATGTGAGTGGCAAGTCCAACTTGGCTTGAATAAGGTAAAAAAGTGGACTGATGAGAACGGGTTCATCCTTTACCCACAAAAGAGCACATGCATTCTATTCTCAAGAAAGAAAGGTCTCCATCCAGATTGACTTGCACAGTCAGCGGCTACCAGTGAAATCTGAACAGAAATTCTTAGGTATAATTTTAGATATGAAATTAACATTTGCACCCCTCATCAAAAATCTCAAATACAAGTGTTTAAAAACCATGAACATTCTGAAAGTGTTGTCACACACAACGTGGGGAAGTGACAGAAAATGTCTGATGTATCTTTATAGAAGCCTCATACAAACACGTCTAGGTTATGGTGCTATTGTCTATCACTCTGCAACCCGACGAACTTTGCAAATGCTTGATCCTAGTCACCATTTGGGCATTCGACTCTCTACGGGTGCTTTTCGCACTAGTCCCAAGCCTGTACGTCGAGTCGAACGAGTGGACGTTGCAGCTCAGAGGACTTACATGTCTTTTGTGCATTACCTCAAAACAAACACAGACAATAAGCACCCCTCACACTGTATAATCAATGACTTGTGCAGTTTCACACTGTATGATAACCGTCCTTTGCTTCGACAGCCCTACTCGCTTCGAGTGAGAGGCTTCGCTGAGAAAACAGGAGTGCCATTGCTTGATAAGTGTCTGATGGCTCCTGCCACGCATCTGCCACCGTGGCAACGGCAGCTCAGAGAATGTGATATATCCTTCGAGGAAGTTACTAAACACTCTCCTGTGGCACATACTTGCACGTACTTCCTAGAGCTTCAACACAAATACAATTGTCCCGACTTTTTCACAGATGCCTCCAAGTCTCACACTTCTGTGTCGCACGCAGCAGTCTGCCCAGCTTTTATGGAGGCCGCCTACGGCATCCTGATACAACCATCTTCACTGCAGAAGCCTGCGCGACACTTGCAGCCATCACACACATCAAACAATCAAAACTATAAAAGGCAGTAATTTACACAGGTTTCCTAATCATCGTAAAGGCCTTGAAAACTCTTAAAGAACACAAAAACCCTGTCCTTGTCTCGCTTTATTCACTACTATGCACAGTGTGCAAGTATAAACAGCATGTTGTAGTGGGCTGGGTACCGGGACATCGCGAAATGCAAGGTAACGTGATGGCGGACCAGCTAGCCACACCTGCCCACGACAGTGCTGTTAATACATCCGTAGCTATCCCTGCTACTGACCTAAAACCATATCTTAAATGAAAGCTCAGAGCTTATTAGCAGAGCACATGGGATAGCCACACACAAAATAAATTGCACATCATCCAGCCGCCTCTTGGTCATTGGCCGCCGGTATAAAAACCACGCCACACACAGGTTACACTTACAAGGCTATGCACAGGACATACACACAGCACACATTCATACCTTTTGAGTGGTGGCGATTCACCTTTGTGTGATAGATTTGGTGAATCGCTCACCGTCAACCACATCCTCATCCAGTGCAGTGAATTAGACTCTATTAGAAAAAAGCATTTTCCGTTAGCTTACCATGAACACATTTCACTTCATTCTGGGATGTTCATTGGCAAAGAACCACTTTTTAAATATCAGTCATTATTCGTGTTTTTAGAGGAAATTCAAAGCTTCAGCATCATATACAAGGGAAATCTGTAGCATAACTTCTCCGCAGAGGTTGGTGCTACGGTAGCTACTCTGAGAAGCACCTGCCTCTTACCCTTTAGTTTCAAAGGGGTTGAGGAGGCATTCGTGCTATTTTACAATCGCCCACTTCTAGATACCATGGTCACTTGCAATTCATTCCACACCCATGCATCAAATCGCGTATCACTTTCATAGTTTTATACTTTATACACATATTTATATTACGCTTTATACAGCACGTAATTTTAAGCCTTTATACAGCCGTATTACACCCTGCCATCGCAATCATCGGTCATTGCTTACATTGCATCGAAGACATGGCACTCATTGGCGACCCATGGCCCTTGCGCCACAAAACTCCACTAATCATCAACTCACTGGTAAGCAGCCACATTTTGAAAATCATAATTTTCAAAAGGTGGTCCAACCTGAATGCCTTCCTGAAATGGTACATTGACCCTCTGAGAGTCGAATTCCCCCCCCCCCCCCCAAAAAAAAAAACTTTTGCAAACGGTCAAATGGTTTTGAATGTATGAAACTTGTAATGCCAGAATAGAAATTATAGAAAAAATCAGGTACAATGTTTTGGTCTTACTGATCACGTATAACTGCATAATGCGCTATAGTAGTATTTCAGAGCGTAGTATTTCTTGAAGTACGGATCTACTGCACAGTGCCTTATCACAGTCTGCACACATGAAACGCAGGTCTGTTATTTTCTTGCATTGATTAGTGGTGTTATCATCACTCGCTCACACATAGCATTTTCTCTGCATGCGGCTGCCTTCGGGCAGAGTAAACTCTGTCACTAGAGGAGAACAATAATAGCTCGTGAATGTAGGGGATGAACAAGCAAAGAGCAGAGCAAATACACTTCCACCTCCTTGGCAAGGAAGTGCTGATGAAGACAAAAATTAAGTTTCACGTGCCTCCATTACTATCACACAGGGAAAACAAAACCACAAAAAGGCGTTGCCTGTCGACGTCGGCGCTGACCGCGTGATGCTCTGACGTCAGAAATCTCTTCTGTTTTTCTCAGCAAGAAAATAACGCAATCATTTCCAACACTTCTTGTAAGTCCTAGGAAGCGGCAGCATAAGTATGCTTTGTTATTATGGCACAACATTTCAAGTAGATGCTCAAAAATGCTCCCGTATGACAAAGACACTCTGGGACAGATAACGTCGCTCTGCATGCAAGGTGCTATCCCCCCTGCTTAATTCTGGACTCGGTGGTCTCTCTTATCATGCCCAATCCGTCAAATTGGTTGAACTGCATTTTCTGCATCATTCTGATGAAAGGCCATCATTTTGTTCCCAGGTTCACCATACTTGATCATTTCATAAATTGTGTATTATAGCTGCAGCTGGTATGCAGCATGATGTGTCTCCACTCTGCAAGCATCTGTAACCTGTTTGACCAGTTGCTTAAGCAGTGCTCTTGTTTCACTGAAGCGGCTTTTAGCACAGTAGGCTTTCATTAAGTGGTACCTCAAGGGACCAAGAATATGTGTTCCTTTAACTGCTAGTTTTATTTGCTCAGGGATGAATAAGGCTGCGAAATACAAGTGTAAAACCAATCGTGTTAGAGGCAGTTCCATTTAGGCAGAAGTTTTATTTCAGAGATTTTAGTTTGTTGAGAGTCTACGTTGATCATAATCATATTGCTGTGCTGGCACTCAAGATGTCAGAGTTCTCTAGCGGCGCCACACAAGTGATGTTTTTCTTTTCTGCTTTAGTGCATGGAATGCATTTTGTTGATGTTGCTTTTCGAGTGTCTTCACGGTTTCGATTCAAAAGTAACTGCAGTACCAACAAAAATGGAACTCACTTTCAGGCGTGCACTGATGCGTGGTGAAAGCGTCAAGTACCTCATTCAAGACTCTGTGATAGACTACATCCGACAGCACGGCCTGTACATGGATTCAATAATGGATGAGTGAGTGCCATTACTCTGTGCCTTTATACAGTAGCCTTCAATAGACATAGCAGATTTAGAACGTTATATTGAATACGTATTGTAATGTTAGCTGTGTGATTCCACTTCTCAGAAGCACCTGCAGAGTGCTCTAAAGAAGTAAAGGTTACAGGAATTGATCGGAAAATCTCTGTTGGTAATGGGAATGCAGCATATTATATTTGTTCTATGAGGTAGGAAGCACTGCTAAATGCCATGGGTGTTGACCGGCGCGACACATGCGCGCTGTCAGTATGCACGCTGCATGCGCTCTACGAACGGTTCCGTGCATAGCATCATTACCTTGACTGATACGCTTGCTGAAAGAGGGCTTTGGAGCGGTGCCGCAGCTGTTCCGCTGGCCGACGGGGACCTACGACGATGACAGTGACAACAGACATCGTGCGATGCTTAAGGAGCTTCTCTCCTAAAAAGCCAAAGGGCTACTCTACTTCCCTGAATGATGTCAGCAGCATGGCATTGTGGGATATGAAAGTGCACTCCCCTACTCTTGAAGAAGCCCTGTAACACCTTGCTAGGTAATCACAGGAATGACCACACTATCGGATTAGATTGCCTCGTGAATCTGCTGCTGTAAAATTTTATTTGAAACCATCATGTGTAAGTGAAGTTACAGGTATGGTAGTTCTTGTTGTCTCCATATGGTAGTGCTTCATTCTTTTGTCCCAACAAGCATGCTGGAATCTATTGAGAAGGAAATGGTATGGAGGGAGTTGTTCTGTAATTGGTTCTTACGGACCAATTACGGAGCTTAGTTGGCCAAGAGCAGGCAGCAATTTGTGGCTCACTTTGACACGGCATTGTAAGTAACCATCTGCTTGTGGCACATTGGTAATTCACTCGCATGTTCACAAGGAGCCTTAACAGATCAGTAGCATTTTCTCAATACGTCCAAACGATGTTGCAAGGCCCCTCTAAGGTGTCATGCATGAAAAAGTGACCAATTTCTTTCAAGCTTTCTGGAAAAATAGTACTTTGCTCCTTGAACTTTCTCTAGCAATGTTGCTATACAAAGCACATGTACCATTTGAATGCTGTGCAACCACATGACATTGCAATACGCTGTCTCACAGCATCAATTCAAACCACACGGAGGCGGAGACGGCCAGGAGACAGCCGTGTGACACTTGCACTCGGCGTCCATGCAACACCAGCAATGGACGCCGAGTAGTCCCATCACCAGCACCGAACAAGCGAGAGCCACGCAGGGTCCACATCTCTTGCAGTCAATGGTGACGACGACGTTGGATAGTGATTGGCCAGTCACCATGCTCGACAATGGCGAATTGTTGCACGGCGGCAAGAGAGGAACCGGTGCTTGCGCCCCGTGCGTGGCGCTCACGGACTCCGCCTTGTCACATTTAATCTCCTGTTTAGTTCTCAAGGATAAAGCTCGGTCGTGCCAGCGTGATACGGGCGAGTGGCCCTAGAGCACGATGACACTGTTCACATAGCGAGTATCAAATGGTTGCACTTTTGCAAGCTTGAGTTTTTAGCCTGGATGAAGCCTTGTTAAGTTGAAAAAAAAGTGTCCGACCGTTTAGCATCGATTCTCGTTTCTTTTTGCGTCAGACTAGTCCTCATGATAACTGTCGCCAGCAAGAGAAAAACTGCTCATCATCACTGCAGAAATTCAGTCACAATCTTAACAGTTTTAGCCTTGACGGAAGTTGAATTAGCTTTCAATGGGGACAGATCGCCAATTAGCAATTAATAGCAATTTGAGCAATAAGTGCCTGGTTTTCATTGAAAGTTCTTGCCAGCAAGAGCATTCATTTTTGCTGCAATCAAGCACAGGGGTGCAGCCCCATATGTTCTTAAACCATGTGAGAGTGCTTTAAAAAGTTGAGAGAGATGGTGTCATCTGCTGGACTTGCTTCAGATGTTTAGTATTTATAATAATGAACCAACTGCAACTGAGCTAATGCATTTTACTGCACAGTCTTGAAGAAACTGAAGCTGCATTGTAAGCGTATCCTGTTGTAGAGCATTGCGCTGCATTGACTGTGTGTTGGTGTGTATCGGGTATCTTTGTGATATGCCCTGCGATATTCTAACTCATTACAGAGAATTATGCTTTCGTTACTTTGCAAGATGTGTTTCAGAGTGCTTTGTGCACCTAGGGTGCATTCTATGCTTTTGTGGGAGATGGCGCTGAGCATCGTAGAAAATGCACAAACTAGAAAGAGTCTCCTATTCTTGAAATTCCTCGACGGCAGTGCACGCCACCCTTTTCTCTTGGACGCACATTGTAAGAATTGTTTGCAGCTGTCAATACATAACCGAAAACCAAGCCAGCTTGGCATTTACTGCTTAGATGGAACATGTCTATGCCACGGGTTCACAGCCAGTGCTACGATATTTACTGCTGCTTTCTGTGATGTCACTGTTTCTGATGTGCCGGCAGGGCCACCTTTGCCCTGATGCTGTGGCATTTCGCTGCCTAATTGCTTCATAGTTGTGCGAACTTGGTATACTGGTCCAATTTTTGAAGTCGAGCGCCAGTATAAAAGGCAGATACAGCTTCAGGGAAAGGACCCTACTGCTTGAAACAGAATAAACATGTTACTCAGTTTTCAATGAAACTTGTGCAGAAATGAAAAATTGAGGTGTGTAGTCGCTGCTCCAATCATGCCACAGTGGTTTGTGTGAGCTAGCTACCTTGAAATGCCTAAATGTTTCACCCTCCTGCTTGCGAATTGTCATTACAGTTAGCTGTGAAAGTTTTGTGCCTTTCAAGGCATCAATAGCCACTAGTCTGTAGTATTCATTCCTTGGCATAGCACCTGTGAGCATAAGATTTTATGCAGTAGGTCCTAGGGTTGAAAAAAAAAAAAAGCGCACTCGCTGAAAAACACCTGAGTAGTTCATGCTGTACAGTATAGCTGTCTTCCTTCCATTGAAGGTGCAGAAAGGCCAACCAGTGGCATTGGTAAAGTGTTGCGGTCCTGTTGAGGGAATCCCCAGGGTAGATTTTAATTCTGTGTTCTAATTGTCTGCTTGTTTTGCCAGTCTGCTGTTCGGAGAGCTTTAGTATTCGATCGACTGGCACATCTACAAGTGCAGTCCAGCGTGTTGCTGCTGCGCCATCACAGCCAAGTCCTGCTGTGTGGATTTTTTTATCTTTGACATTTCTCTCTGTTTTGTTGTGTATCTGTTCTGCTCTTTACAGATGTAACTGGCAACGAGTGAACGTTGAGGGAAAATGTATTTTAATTATCGTTTTAGAATTTTATGCAATGAAATATCTTTGTTCGGATTATGCCTCTACCTCCAATGACACCATTCGGCTGGCACTTTCTTATTTATTTACGCAGCTGTGTTAGGTTCTGCATGCAGCTTCATTAGTGCTGATTTATTTGAGTTGGAGATGAGAGTATAAAGTATAATAGCATGAGTTTCTATGATTCTACATTTTTATGAATAGGTTGACTGTGCTTAGAGGCAGCTGGATAAGTATGTGCGACGTTGCTGTGTTTGTGCATGTCACGAAAGTTTGGGGAGCTTGTGTCATGGGATGTAATGAAGAAAGAAAACTAGGATGTGCATGAATGCTGCATTTGTTGTTGGGTTGAAGCTGGATGGCTTGTTCATGGTTATTAGATGGAGGAAATAAAATGCTTGTTCCACGACTTTCCTGCTCGAGTGAGTCTGTCAGAGGCGACGTTCCCCTTTGAGCAGCCTCTCATTGTCAAGGAGCCAGATGCTAATAGCTGTATCGGCTAAACTGTGAACTAGCACTGGCTCAGATATAATCGGTTATAATTCGATGGATGCTTCAAAAACCTTGACAATATCTTCGAAAAGTTCGCGATAAAGATGCTTATAAGCTCCAGATCAATTATTTGAGCAAGTTTAACTAAAATTTCCCAAACTGATTATAGGTTTCTTTTTTTTTTTTCACCATGAAAGTGTTTTATGGCGGGGTCCATCATGACTTTTCTTGCCTCATTTCCATCGTGAATTGATCTCAGTGAACAGATGACAAAAAAAAAAAAGAAACTACGTGTATAACTTGAGAATCAAATTTGCGACCTCCCGATCCTGGACGACATGTGCCCGCAACGCTGTACCCACATCATCACTGACGCATGTGCACGAGGATTCGCAAGCGTGCCTTATATCTCTCACCTCCCTACTGCTAGTGCTGCTACCACCACCGGCGCCACTGCATTTCCAAGCAGTGCAAGTGTTTCAGGGGCGAAGCTCTTTACAGCGGCACTTGTTCGTCTCTCGTAGCCATTGTAGTATGTAACAAGTATACCATTTTGATCTCCAAGGTGGTGCCGGTGAGAGATTTCTTCTGTGCGTTGTTGAACAATAAAAAATAGTGCTCAATGTACATGCCAATGGCTGCTAATGGGGATTGAGAGATGGGAGCATTCGGCTTTTAGTTAACGCGCACGCTGCGATCCCCATTAGCAGCCATTGGCATGTACATTGAGCACTATCTGACAGGAAAAGGTTGCTAAGTTGTACTCGCTGGGCGTAACCTCCTTGGTTTTAGAAAGATTTAGCGAGCGTTGGGCCGCAGTGCCATGAATACAGTGAACTAGTATACCATGAACTCGAGGTGGTTAAAAGTGGGAAGTACACTTGAAGCGCAAGCCGTAAGAAAATGTGCGTGTGCGACCTTTCGTTTAGTCCTTGGAATGTCCGCTGGATGGCGGTGCTTGTATATGGGGAATAGGGAGCCTACATGAACGGCCGTTCATGTAGGCTCCCTAATGGGGAATATATGATGAAAAGATGCGAGATGGTGGTACTTGGAGTGTTGAATAGATGGACGAATGGACACACAGACAGATGCATGGATGGACGCATGAACGGACACAGGCGCGGATGCATGGACGAACGCAGGGACGGACGCACGAACAGACGCACGCACGAACAGGCGAATGGGCGCATGGACGGTCACACAGACGGACGCATGGACGGACGGAAGCAAGAACGAATGGACGGACGAATGCTTCGCCCAATCGACGGAATCGCTCCACCTTCGCAGCGCCGCTATACCTACGGACGCAACATTCCAATCTCAAGGCTGCTTCTTAGCGTGGTTGTTGCAACGAAATACGGCACAGTTTATTATTGTCGCTGCTGGCTGGCGTGCAACCATGGCACGTACCGCCTCTCCGCAAACGCAAATAAACTCCTCCGAAGACTTTTCACGAAAATAAAAATACGCTCCGCGCACGAGACGCTGCTGTGTGTGCTAAGGAGAACGGCTTGCACAGTAGAGGCATGATGGTTCAGCGAACTGGGAGCGCGGGGGTAAACACAAACACAAAGCAAAGAAGAGGCACACAGCATGAGCTCTAAACAACTGGTTTACTCTCACGTTTGAAGGACATATAAGTACACAAGGGTGCGCATGTCAACAGAAATGAGATGATAGTGTGAACCATCATGAATTACCAACTAGCCCACCTTTCCATCCTGTTGCAGTAGAGACATTCGACACTTACGACGCGCCCGTTCAGTGACAATGGAGAGTGCACACACAAGCCAGCAGGAAACGTAGCCAGGGGGTGGCACACCAAACACGTGCCCTCCCCCCCCCCCCTCGAATTTTTTTTTCACCATGGCATAGAGAGCGAAAAATTGTCATTTTAAGGGGGTGCCCCTCCCGACATCAAAATAATGCCCCCCCCCCCCCCCCCGGAAAACATTTCTGGCTACGCGCCTGGTAGCAAGGTACAGCGCCCACCACATTCGAGAACGGCCAGACCGCCAAAATGGCGTCACAGCCCGGCGATGCCATCCCCTCCTCGCGGATCAAAGTTCAGTTCATGGATACCCCTTAATGTAATGTAGTCTGAGTCAAGATATCGAAAACAGACCGTTTGGGTGGCGCAAAAAGGTGTTCGACCACACACTACGCATATACTTGTAAATATAGGTGAAAACAACTTTCGTGTTTTACAAACACTGCAACCTGAATAAAGACTTCACAGTGTACAACATGTAGTATATCGCTATAATATTGCGGTATACGAGCGTAATCATTGTCATCGGGTTACGGTACGAGCGTAATCATTGTCGTCGTAATTATCGACTTCGTTGTTTGATGCCGGCCACTCGTTACAAAAGGAACACACGTTCGAATATAAAGTTCGAAAAACAACAACAACATTTAGCGCGCATAATTGTTCGTGGAATTACAGCATGATACCCATTACAGAGAATGCAGCCATACGCGAAAGCTTCACCGACACAGGTCATTTTCAACTTTATCGATTACGTTTTAGTAATCCACAATTTAAATTCCTGCACTAACACCATGCAATAAAAACGTATGCACTATGAACAGTATACTATAGCTATTGCGTTCAACTCTTAAAGCTTAAGGTTCCCCTGTTTTTTTGTTTTTTTTATGAAACTTGTCATGTTACGCCTTTGGCTGCCTTAGGAAAAATGCAATATGCTTTTACTGATAGTTATATAGGCCCTTCGATATCTATGATGTCACGGCGAGTCGGTGCGGGGCGTCGCCATCTTTTATTTTCGCGCGTTTTATTCATTTCACCAAATGTCGTCGCGCGGGTTGTGTAGTACTTTTGGTAAATTAAAAAAGGGCAATTTATCAATGCAATTTGTTTTACTCTTTTGGGCGGGTGCAAAACAATAATGGCACCACTTCGCTTTTATTCTGCTTGTGTATAGAAGCTATACGTGTTGCGGGCAATAGCTAAATCGACTACGAAACTCGTCTTTCTCCGTCGCTTGTATAGCTTGCCGTCTTTCCTTCCGTAAAGCGATTCTCCCGTATGTTCTATTCATCGACGGAAAGGGAACCGTTGCCGCGATCGCCTTTTAGGCACGAGGTCTCGCTCCTATCACGAACACGCACTCTTTCGGCAAAAGATGCTGCCGGCGACCGCCTACCGCGCCTACTGCTTCGCACTTGCGCTGGCAGTCGTCTACGTGACGTCAGGTGACGCCTTAAATGGCACCTTTTCGGTGAGCGTGGAAGAAGGTAAGTGCTTTGCCTTAATTCAGCCTAAACTCCCACTGAAGATAATGTAGTGGGGGGGTATCCTTCGAGACCGCTGTTAGCGAAGAGGTGACCATTTGCATTTTCTAATTTTTATTTTTTTATCCTTTCATCACACTCATCACTTTAAGGGGGCGAAAGCTAACAAAATTGAATTATTTTGTTAGAACTACGCGGTTCTTGGCCAATCCTCCAGCGTGGTGCATGCCACAGGTTCTAGGCTTTACTACTACTACTACTACTACTACTACTACTACTACTACTACTACTACTACTACTACTTCTACTACTACTATTGTCCCGCCGTGGTAAAGTACTCGGCTGCTGATCCGCATGCAGGTTGCGGGGTCGAATCCCCCGGCTGTGGCGGCTGCATTTTCAATGGAGGCGAAAATGCTGTAGGCCCGTGCGCTCAGATTTGGGTGCACGTTAAAGAACCCCAGGTGATCTATATGGTGGTTTTAGGACGTTAAATCCCGCATACTACTACTATTTCCACGGGCACCGCCTGAAGCGTACAAGTTTGAGCGCCCAAGCCGTGATGTCTTCTTATACTCAGCTAGCTAGACCTTTAATATATCTTCCAGCTAGCCGTCTGTCGCCACACATTTCAAATTAGTTGAAACGAGTGCTGTGGATTGGCAAAGCTGAAACGTGAGGCACAACTGAAAAACCTGCACTTCAGTGTCTATTCCATGGTAGTTCCTCATTCTCTCTACAGTGCGTAGCGTGTTACATTCGAGCCGCTGATATTCCAGACGCAAAATTTCTTAGATCTTGCTGCTGTTAGTTATCGTTGCGTAGTCTGAGGTCTGCTTCGGGGGCTGGACCTCCCCCCTCTCCATATTTTTCTTCGCGCGCACATTTTTCGATGCTCTGGCTGAACTCACAACTACCAGTGCATTTGCATGCGCTTTATGATAATCGCGTCGACTGAAAAACCACCTTTTACCGTGAAACAAAAATGTGGAGCTTCACCTAACAGCAGGGACGTAGGCAGATGTTTTTTGTTTTTTTTATGGGGAGTGAAGGGCCGGGCTGGAAGGTGTTGTCGAGAGTAAATAAATAAATAAATAAATAAATAAATAAATAAATAAATAAATAAATAAATAAATTCAAGGGTTGGGGTGTAGGCATGGACCAACACGCATAAAACCAAGTCTAGTTTCATGTTGCATGTCACTGCATTACATTTCTTGAATGCTAATTAGAAAATTCGCTTATAGCTTATCGCTGTTTAGATTTTGACTATACGCCAATCTTTACATGTGTATATATGTGCGCGTATTCTTTCAATAAACCTTACTTGATAGCTTGCGTGTGATCATTTCGATAGCTGTTTTTTTTTCGTTTTATTTTCACTGATTTCTACGACAATTAGAAGTTGTTTTGCTTTTTACTTTTCCGTGAAGGCATAAAACTTTGTGGTGCACCTAATCTGTCTTGAAGGATACTGCGTGCTGAACACGACATCGAACAAGGACGGAGTCGTGAAAATCAAGGATGGGAAAATTTTCGGTGGCGTCGACCCTTGCATGTCCTACGTGTGCCTGGCCGATAAAAAGACGGTCGTCACCGAGGGGTGAGCTATACGTTTTTTTTTTTTTTTCGACACGTGAGGGGAACTTGAGCATGT